GTGATTGGAGAAGTTTTTAAGGGAAAATACCATGGTGGAAAAGTCTTGTTTCAAGATATGTTGGATTCCAGAGAATATTTTGAAGTGTGGAAACATTCTTAAGTCTGTTGTACCAGTAACTACTCAGTTACGTGCAGAGGCAAGAAAAAGTGATCAGTGTTTTTAAGAAACAGACCTGTGCGCGGGATAAGCATGTCTTTGAAACAGACTATACATTGAGTTTAGACTTCAGGGTGTAGAACCAGGACTATCTTCCATCTGAGAGCTTGAAACAGTGGTGGTATTAGCAGACATCTGTGCTCTTTGTTACACATCTGTGCTACTCTGGGACTTAAATACACCAGATGAAAGTTATTCAAACCATTGCTTAGAAATTGTTGCATACATTTTTAGTTGGTTTCCAAAACTGTTTCTGTAGTATCTTTTATAGAAGTCTTTCAACTTTGTTGGTGTGCTGCTGTGGTTCTGTAGCTGTTACCCTTTGGTTTCAGTCTCTGCCTTGGCCTCTGCTCTTACCCAGAAGGTTGGGGTTCAGCGTTTCAGACCACTCTCAGCCCAGGGCTGATGCAGTTGACCTGTTGGGCAGGTGGGCTGGACCAGCACAGTAGGCTTTATTTTTTGAACTCTTCCTAGCAAGTGAGATCAAGTAGCTCATGGCATATAGTTCATCCTTAGCTGTTATTTTTATCTTTTGGTCCTTTAGCTTACTTGCCATCTTGCATTATATATACCTTGCATTTATAGTGCTAGAGCACTGACTCCACTGTCGGTTATGTGGTGCCCATGCCATGGCTGTTACATGCATAGTCAGCCCATCAGGGTTTTAAGGAATAGCCAGAATTGTGTGAGGATAGACTAAGAAGGTGTATGTATGTGAACTTTCAGACATATATATAGGTGAGTTTTCATAGAAGAGTATTAAAGTGGCCTTTCTCTATGATCAGTTTGTGCTCTCCCAGGAATTTCAAATTTGTGCTCTAAAGGATCAAAGCGATAGAGCTTCTGGGAAAACAACAGTAAATACTTTGTTTGCTAGGTAAACATTTTTTCCAAATCTAATTCACGGAAATAATTGATGCAAAAAAAATTATTATTATGAAGAGTCCATTGTTTTATAAAACTTCATACTTAATAGCCGTGTTTTGTATAAGCTAAAACCAACTGAAAATATATAAAGACAAGTGTTGGATTAAAGGTTTTGGTATTTCTACATATAATAATATGTATGCAGCAAGGACTTTGAGAATTTCCATGTAAATGCCTACAGACATAATTGGTAATTTGTAGTATTTCCTTATTTCCCTCCCTCAATTACAAAACACATAATTATGATTTCTAGGTTTGCTGTGATAATGGCCTTAGTATTTGCCAGTCCACATCTGTTTGTTGGTCCAGAACTGAATGAAATTAATATTGTGGGAGCAGATTTTAATCAGTTTAAATATTGTGGAGAAATTTAAATATGGATGAGTGGCTGCACTGTGCATTAAGAACTATGGTGTGGAGTGACAGAAAAATATTCTGGCTGAGACTCCTACTCAGAGGAGATCTAATCAAAGTTAGGTTGTGTTGCTCAAGGTGTTGTGCAGTGGCGTTTGGACGTTCCAGGGATGAACATCCCTCAGCCCCCCAGGGCAATCTGGTCCCATACATACTGTATTTTGTGTTTTGGATTGGTTAAGAGTTGCCTACTCAGGCAGGGTAGCTTGCTGCTGTGTCTGGTCATTTTCTTGCTCGTGGGATGAGCCATTCATGTGCTTTAATGAGCTTGTCTTTGGCTGACCAGCTGTCCTGTGCTCTTTTGTCCTTCAGCATCCCTCGTGAGCTTGCCCGCCGCTTCCCCAGACAAGCCGTACTTTACTCTCCTACTGTCCAGTGTCACCTCCTATTTGCCTCCCTCTTTTCTCTTAATTTTCGTCTGATACATAAATGCTTACTGCTAATATCTGTGAGTTGCCACAACAGGGTCAGGGATTGTTTGCAACTAGAGTAGGGTTAGTAATGTTGTAGATGGGGGACCTTATGTATGTGGATTGCCTATCTGGAAGTGATGTCTCCTTTTGATATTAAATGTCTCTCCAGTTCTCTAAGTTTTCAATAACCTGTAGCCTTAGTCAGTGTTTTAAAATCTTTATTCCTAAGCAGCAAGACTTTCATACAATAAATATATTTTATCTAATATCACAGTACTAACTCTTTTTCTATCACTGAAATGCCTCTTTTTCAGATTACGTATTTCAGTCTGTGGTATTATAATAAGCAGAATCAACGCAGATGGGTAGATTTGGACAAGCCTCTGAAAAAGCAGCTGGACAAATATGCCTTGGAGCCAACTGTGTATTTTGGAGTAGTGTTCTATGTGCCTACTGTTTC